CAGGAGAGGTCCTGTATCATCTGGGCTAGGAATTGGATTAGTTCTTAATGGACTTTTATAAGGTGTCACCGCAGCTCCCCGATTAAGGGGCGGGCAGCGGAGTAATATCCTTTATTAACAATTTAATGGACTGGGTGCAACTCCATCTGTCTTCATCAGCGCTCCCCAGTATGTCTGGGAGAACTAGTTGATGCCGGACCTGTAACGTGGACCTGATGAAAGAGCGAGGAAGGCCATCCATCAGTGTCCACATCCAAGGGATGAAGTCAGAAGAAGGGAACCGGTGAGGAAAGTTTGCAGCAGGAAACTCCAGACTTACCTTTCCAGCAGACGGTCTAGAATCCCCTAGTAGAGATTTTGGGATCCTGACTTAGAAGTTGCACATTCTTGGTTGACTTCCAAAGCCGTTCCGTCCCCCAAATCCCTTGGCTCGACGTCATATCTACGACTTGAAGCTCTTCGCGACGTATTTGGGTATCCAGAATCGGGCCTTCTATCCATTTCCTGGCCTACTAAGAACTTCAGAGTCACGACGTAGCAACGACTTACTTCCCAAAAAATTTCTCTTGCCCGAGTTTGAGAAGAATGTAACTCGGAGAACTGGCATCTGTAGCTCCTCAGATATTGTGGATGGACCTCAACTTGCATCAGCCAAAGGAAGCCAAGGGCCCCCAAAATCAGGGACGGTCCCATTGTAGTCCAATGACCCTGGAGGTCCATAAGGACTTCGAGGAAGAACTCTTGGTCGTTGGCCCCTCTTGAGAAAGGAACACATAAGTGGTGGAAACCCAGGTGCATCGTTCTCATTCATCTTTTCTGATGGAGATGTTCCTCCTTCAGTCTCTCTTCACAAACTCCTTTTGTGATGCGGAGAGGTTCTCCTCCTCTCATGCTGGTCTTTGTAGCTTCCTCTGAGGGTCTCTAGGGCCTGGTTGGTTGTAGGTGTCCACAGAGGAAGGGGGAAGAATAAGCAGGTAACTCTGCCAGGGACTTGTGACTCACAGGGAAGAGGATCGAGGAAAATAGCAATCGTGTAGGAGAGAGGCTTGCTTCTCCTAAACCTCTACCTTCCAGAAAGGTCCTTCGGTCACTGCTGGGAGAAGAGGGTGGTTGAGAAGGAGAAGAAGAGAGGTCTCGAAATGAAGCTGTTTTCAGCGTTTGGTTCCATCCCTGGAATTATTTACAGCTGCAGGCAATACAAAACTATGTAGAGCAAGTGGGCTCATTTACATGCTAATTCATTTATACCCTCTGGATTGACTCCACCAATTCATTTTCAGCCCACTAACTCTTCTGACGTGAATTATATTATCACCTCCAGAATGGCAGTGGGGGAAATACAGCAGCAGGGTAGGTGGGGGAGGGGAGGGAAGTGGCGGGGGGAGGGGGCTGCCCTTTGACCCTTCAGATGGCCCTGGGGGCTGGGGGGGGCGAGAACCTGAGCTGGAACTGGAGCAGAAGAATAGGACCCGACCGACCGACCGACCTCCGTTTCTGCTCTGAAATCACCGGCCAAGGTTGGGGACCTACGGTGGGAGGGAGACAGCGGTTGCATTCGGAGGGAAGCGGGCGGGAAATGAGAAGAGGGGCAGGGAGAATTGGGTGGAAAGGCTGTGATTTTTGTCCGGGTGGTTTCCCCAATCAGAAAGAGTCAACCAAGAAAATCCTTCCTTCCTTCCCCTTTTTTTTCTTTTTCTTTTCTCTTTCCTTCTTTCTCCTACCTTCCTTCCTTCTCTTTTTCTTTCTCTCTCTTTCTTGCTCCTTCTCTTTTTCTTTTTCTCTTTCTTTCTCTTTCTTGCTCCTTCTCTCTTTCTTTCTTCCTTCCTTCCTTCCTTTCCTTTATTTCCTTTCTTTCTTTCTCCTACCTTCCTTCCTTCTTTTTCTTTCTTTCTTTCTTTCTTTCTTGCTCCTTCTCTTTTTCTTTCTTTTTCTTTCTTTCTCTTTCTTGCTTCTTTTCTTTTTCTTTCTTTCTTTCTTTCTTTCTTTCTTTCTTTCTTTCTTTCTTTCTTTCTTTCTTTCTTTCTTCTTTCTTTCTTTTCCTTCCTTCCTTCCTTCCTTCCTTCCTTGCCACCTTCCTTTCCTTTCCTTTCCTTTCCTTTCTTTCTTTCTTTCTCATCTTCCTTTTCCTCTCTTTTCCTGTCTTCTGCACCGTTTCCTGTCCCACCTTCATTTTGACTTCAAAGTCCTTGCTGAGGGAAAGCGGACCAATGAAGTTGAACTTTCTTTAAATGCTTTTGTTTCCCTCTCAAACTTGGGCTATTAATTCATACTGTTTGATCAAGACCCGTTAATTAAGTGACTCCCTTGATATGGGCTTGAGCATTATTTCATTTGTGCATTTTACTCTTGACATCCATCAAACTTCCACCCGGGGGGGCATTCGGAGAGTCCCCTCTATTTGTCCCACCCCAAACCTGGGGATCTCCTCCAGAAAGGTTGGTCAGGACAGGTGAGTCAAGATGCCCCTTCAAGTTCCTTCACCCTAAAGATGACGGAAAAGGCTCTAGTTTCTTTTCTTTCCACTCACTCACTGGCTTAGCTAAATAAACAGGTTTTTGCTGGCTTAAATGTGTGTATGTGTGTGTGTGTTTGTGTGTGTGTGTGTGTATCCCAGAATAAGCAAATAACCATGGACCTTCAACCTGCAAAATATCCTGCCTCTGTTTATTCTGTACATACTTGATTTAAAGGACAGAAAGCATCTCAAAGAACGTGTGCGCCAGAAGACATTACAAAATGCTGGTTCCTTTTTTGTGCATTGTTCAGAAAAGAATGGATTCATATTTTGGAACAACAATTCAGTTTCGGCATCGAGAACCGGGTTCCCCCACCTCGTGCTGGCTGGGGAATGCTGGGAGTTGAAGTCCAGACCTCACAAAAGTTGCCAAGGTTGAGAAAAAGAGCTCTATGCTTCCTTTGCGACCATCTTCCCAAACAGCTCTATAAAAAGAAGCGGGAAGGCCAGAGGAAGGCGCAGAAGCCAAATCCAGGCCTCCGTGGTCTGTTCTCCAGACCGCGGTTGCCAGAATTAGTAGGGTGAGCTGGCAGCTGGATCCTGAAACAGAGGTGGATGTCTCAGTCTGCTGGCTCGGGCAGGAAGCCAGGATCTTCATATTTATATTTTGAGGCTTAATTCTGCCTGCCAGCTGCTTGCCAACCATGGCAAAAACACCTCCGGGTTCTTCTGCAGAAGGTTGACGTTGAGGGCTTTCACCTTGGTCGAATACCTAGGACACGGTTGGGCTTTGGAAGTGTCGCGGCTCCGTCTGCGGTCACGTCATCAGTTCTTCTGGTAGAAATACCTGACTTGGGAAGACACATTGCAGTTCTCCAATCTATCCACAGATAAGCTACCAAGATCCTGGTTTTTGAATCAGGTCTGGGAGGTCCTGGGTTATAATATGGCCCAGACTAGAACCCTGGGCCATATTTACAAAATGAAATGAACATAGAGGAAAGTAAAGTCCTACACTTAGGCAAGAAAAACCCAAAGGAAACCTACAGACTGGGTGAAACCAGGCTCAATAGCAGGAACTGGGAGAGGGATCCTGGAGTCTTAGTGGACAACCAGTTAAAAGCAACCAGGATGATAAGGGGACTGGAGGCTATAATATACAATGAATGGTTGCAGGAACTGAGCCAGGCTATTCTAGGGAAGAGAAGGACCAGGGAGACATGAGAGCATCTTCCAATATTTGAGGGGCTGCCACAGAGAGGAAGGAGGGGTCAGGCTATTTTCCAAGGCACCTGAAGGCCAGACAAGGAATAATGGATGGAAACTGATCCAGGAGAGATTCAACCTGGAAATAAGGAAGAATTTTCTGACAGTGAGAACAATCTACCCATGGAACAGAAGTTGCCTTCAGAAGTTGTGGGAGCTTCATCACTGGAGACTTTCAAGAAGAGATTGCACTGCCATTTGTCAGAAATGGTGTAGGGTCTCCTGCTTGGGCAGGGGGTTGGACTAGATGACCTACAAGGTCCCTTCCAACTCTGATTATCTGTGATCTGTTAATCTAAGCCAACATCATCTGGCGTCACATCAGTTTGGGGATCCTATTCAATAGGAAGCATCATTTCTGAAGACCATCAAGTCAATTTCAATGAGGAGATGGAGATAACCATGAACGAAGAAGTTTCACCAGACTTGATCCCAGGAGGGGAGGTAAATTATCGGTCTGGGTGTAGGGGATACATCCAGATGACTTTGTAGCCATCAGTGGCCATCCGGACTACGCAGTAGGTCCAGATAAGTGGAGACTTGCAAAATGGCCCAATCCATCAACCCAAGGAGAAGCTTAGTGTTTGGGGCAACCATAGGTAGGGAGCAACTAGGAGTTGCAAGCTACCTTCTGAACCCGACTGCTCCTTCTTAAGCACCACGGAAGACCCATCTTGCTTGATCTGCTCCAAGCTGGGAACAACTGGACTTATTAAATCTGCTAAATTCATGCACAGACCCAAATATCTACATGCAAACTGCAAACCTTCCCAAATTCTTCCATCAACCGAATGGAAAGGATCGTTTTCTTTTTCCAAAATAAATAAATGATGGTGGTGAATTTATAATTTCATCTGTCCAGTTTGGCCTGGAAGCCTCATCCGATGTCTATCTAATGTCCTAAAAGCTTCATGTCTGGAATATTCCCACTTAAGCAGAAAAAGTACACTGCCGGGAGCAACGGTTCAGGAGAGAGAAGCCCAAGATTTTTGCGCTGTGGTGACGGGGGGCCTGGAAACCGACATTTTTCTCCCTCCGCCGTCTGTCATCCCCGCTTTCTCTGCTCGCTGGCTGCTCGTTCTCACTGCCGGCAATCAAACGGAATCGTAATCAATTCATTGCTAAATGTTTTATGCTGCGGAGGAAAAAGAGCACTGCTTAAATTGAAACGACACACTCGCACGCATAAAATGAACACAAACAAAAGAAGGGCAAGAACGAAAGGCGGGGAGGAAGCATCTGCTACTTCTCGACTGCCAAGCATTGCTTCTCTGGTTTATTTTTAATTTTTTTGGCTAAAAAACGGTCCTTAGCCGACTCCAGATACTGGAAAAACCCACTGGCCTCTCTTACCAATTCTGAAATCTTCAGAATAAAGGGTAAGGGGCTTTGGTCACGCAGTCCCCCATGAAAAGATGTGAAAGTTGAAAGAGGTTGGGTCAAAGTTTTGAGGTTTCCTGGACTTTGTTGGGCTTGGCCTTCCATTGGCCAACTTACTTTAAAGCAACTGTCCCTCAAGAAAGTCTCCTGAACTCCTCCATTTGGTGTTTTCACTGGTGGTCTAGGTCCATCCCAAGAACATGGAGCCCCATTTTCCATCGTTCAGGCCCACCCAAACCCTGTCAGTTGACTCAAATGGGGCAATCCTTGAAGGCCAGGTTGTATCAAAGTCCTGGTCTGCATGCTTGGTCCTCACCCCCATCCTTCTCTGGCTCTTCTGCCCCCAATGCCTGGTTTTTCTTTCAGCATTGGGTTTGCTCATATAACCCTTCATGCACCAACTTCTGGATAAATATCAGCTTCTAGTCTGATATCTCCATGGTTTCCTGGTCAAGTCCTCGTCTCTGCAGGTCCACCTCGACCTCCTTAGATTTGTGTGATGCTCATAGGGGCCTAAAAGGAGATTTATTTCTTCTATCCAAAGCAGAATCTTACTCTAGTTATCGAAGGACCAAATCCATCTGAATGTTTTCTCTCAGCTAAGTCCACCAAGACATGCCTAGATGCTTGTGGTCTACCTGGATTTCAACTGGCACCTTTCTGAGTCAATTATCTGACAAGTTATTTCAAATATTTATCTCCTACCCTTAAATGAGAGTACTGACTCTTCCAAGCACCTGAATAGATTACCATTTTAATGAAAAGATGCCCCTGATTGAAAGAGGTGATTATTATTTTCTTCTTCTTCTTCTTCTTCTTCTTCTTCTTCTTCTTCTTCTTCTT